TGGGATCGAATTGGGACCTGGACCTTCCTGCTGTGAGTTGATGTAGCTAACCACTGTACCATGCTGCCCCATTTATATAGTCAATATATTTACTTGGCTATTGTAAAACTTTGGGTGAAGTAGTGCAAATATTGCAAATAGATTTAATCTGTACAAGGTGCATTATCCTCTGTCCATATATATTATCACAGTTTATAACGGAAAGATAAACCATTTATTTAAGTCCCACACCCTCCATCATTTCCAGGTTTTCATGTCAGTGGATGAGCCAGAGGCAGGCAGCCAGGAGACCCCAAGTGGAGAGGACAGCACTCCCACCATGACCACCTTAGTCCCGCCTGCTGCTCTTCCCCAAGAGGAGCGTCCTCTAGTGGAGTTTGACTCCCCGGACTCGGGTCTCCCCTCCTCCAGAAACTACTCAGTGACCTCTGGTCATTCCCAGATCCTGTCAAGCATAGATGATGGTCAGAGCACAGAGGAGGAAGGGGGAGGCGGGGATGAGGGCAGGACTCTAGGTGTGCTGGGGGGGCACGAGGACTCTCTTACCGAGGACAGGCTGTGTTGCCAATTGGACAAACTGGTGACCAATGGAGCATCTGCTGAGAGGATATCACCATCACTGTCGTCATATACAGTACGTCTGCTTTAAATATGACTTAAAGGTTTAGTGTGTAAAATTTAGTGACATCTAGAGGTGAAGTTGCATGTTGCAGCTGAATACTCCACATCTCACCCTCCCCTTCCAAACATGAAAGAGAACCTGAGGTGAACTTCAGTTGTTAGTTTGTAATACTAAAAAAACATGGTGGCCTCCGATGAGAGGACCCCACTCCATGTAAATATAAAGGCTTTAAATATAAAGGGCCCATTCTGTGTTAAAGAAAACAAAAAATCAGATAAAACACACCAGTGAAAACATCAATAGGATTATTTTATATTCAATTTCTGGTAAAAAATACCTTTTACCTAAATCTTACCCACTGAACCTTTGAAGGCCATGCCAGCCTTGAGAAGGTGGGGTGAATGGAACTGACCGCGATCAATCCATGAGCGACCTCAACTGTAGAGGCCGTAATGTTCATCACACTGACCTTTATTTGACAGAATGAATGAACTCATTCTTTGCATTGTAGGGCTTATAGATTTTAGCAGAAAGAAGCAGATGATGAATAGTCCTGTATCCAAAATGGAAACGTATTATTTGCCTGGTGTCATGGACACTCAGTTACTCATTGATGTTACAGTAACAACAATGTTTCCTTTAAACAGATTGAGCTGTTGGACATAGTCGCCCTGAACCTCCACAGGATAGACAAAGATGTGCAACGATGTGACAGAAACTACTATTACTTCACTACAGCCAACCTGGAGAAACTACGCAACATCATGTGCAGGTATGTGCAACAATAGTTAATATCCTTATAATAATTATTATCTGTGGTATTTTTTATCGTTAATTATAAATAACAATAATAACACCTATAGCATACTTGAGTAAATAAACTGACTTGGTGTAACATGCACAAGTAAATGTATTGAGTTAAATGTGATGTGTGTCTTATCCCTGCCTGCAGTTATGTGTGGGAACATTTGGAGATAGGCTACGTTCAGGGTATGTGTGACCTGCTCGCTCCACTCATGGTCATCCTTGATGATGGTAAGAAGAAGGGCTCCTCCCATACACACTAGTTATTGCCAAAAGTTCAGAAACAGTACAGCCGCAGTATCAGTTGGCATAAAAATGAGACAATTTGAAGCTATGTGTTGAAGTTTATACTACAATGAAAACTATGCATGAACTAGATTTTTTGTCACAGCAGTCAAACATCACACGCTGAATTAGCTTTTATGAAGCCAGAGCCACTATATTTTCGGGTCTGTCCATCCTTCCCATTCCCGTGAACGCTACATCTAAAAAAGGCCCTGAGGGAATATCTTTAAATTTAGTGCAAACATTCATGTGGACTCAAGGATAAGAAGGTGATTCGAATTTGGTTGGTCAAAGGTCAAGTTTCACAGGCTAATTTTTTGCCTTGTGAACATGATATCTCTGGAACACCTTGAAAGAATCCTTTCACATTTAGAAAAACATTCACTTGGACACAAAGTTTAACTCACTTGATTTTGGTAGCCAATGGTGAAGGTCATGTTGGCCTCACAAAGTATGTTTATGTTTTCTTTCTTGAATATATCTCAAGATCACAATCATTGACTTTGACACAAAGATGAACTGATCTTCTGAGAATTTGGTGGTCAAAGCTCAACGTCACAGCAACAATTTGCACAATTTTGATGATTACACATTATTGAAAACATCACTAGGATTATTCTACATTCAATTTCTGCCAATAGATCCATTTCACCTGAATCTTACACAATGAACCTTTAACAGACCTCTGAAATAGCCAACAATTTATGAAAAAGTAACATTGGAGTTAATCATTCACACTTATGCTGTATGAGCCAAACATTATAAAATCTTAATTGCAGATTAACCAGGTAGGATGAACACAAGGTTTTCTAACTTCCCTCTGCACCATAGGCCGATAATACAAATCTCTACACAGAAGGTTCAGCAAACAAACAAGAGACAGTCTATTGGGGGACTCTTTGAGGATTACTCACTTATGATAAGGAATAATTCTGAAGTAGCTGCAGAGCATTACCGCAGGAAAAAGAAAACAGCCCATTAAAAACAGGCTGTTTTACAACAGTATAATCACACTAGTTAAATTAAAGTAAAAGTCATTGTTTCAGAGTTGAATTGGATTATGTAATTCCTATGTAGAGTGCTGTCCTGGTTACTTGACCATATGTAATTTCTGTGTGTGTGTATTTGTGTGTTAGAGAGCCTGGCGTACAGCTGTTTCACTCAGCTAATGAAGAGGATGAGTCAGAACTTCCCTAATGGAGGAGCCATGGACACACATTTTGCCAACATGAGGTCACTGATCCAGGTGACAGACTGTTATTGTGTGTGTGTTAGTGTCTCTGTGAAAGAGAGAAACAGACAGAGAGTGAATGTGTCACTTCCACTAAAAGCCATGGACGTTGTCTTTGTCATCAGATCCTGGATTCTGAGTTGTTTGAACTGATGCAGCAAAATGGAGATTACACTCACTTCTACTTTTGTTACCGCTGGTTCCTGCTGGACTTCAAGAGAGGTGAACAACCCTTCCTTTTCTCTAACTGACCTGTGTTCTGTGACTCATTGAGTTGTCGGCTCTACAGCTGCATTAGTGCTATTTGAGTAATCGGTGGCAGAAAGACTCCCCACATTTAGCAGTGTTTGCAGATGGAAACTGAAAGTCATGGAACACCACACAGTTTGGGTTGCAAGTGAAGTGCACACTGCACATTATAGACCTCTAGCATGCCATGAGCTTCAGATGGAGTTCACGACTAAAAGAGGTTATATGCAGGTAAAAAATATTCAGAAGGAGTAGCAGCTGTTGTACAATTGGGTTGTTTGCCAACTGAAAAGAGCACTAAGAAGAAATGTAGCAATAATGACGCGGGTGTGTGTGTGTGTGTGTGTGTGTGTGTGTGTGTGTGTGTGTGTGTGTGCGCGCGTGTGTGCAGAGCTCCTGTACGAGGATGTGTTTGCAGTGTGGGAGGTGATCTGGGTGGCTCCCAGAATTTCCTCACAACACTTTGTCCTCTTTCTGGCCTTGGCACTGGTCACAGTTTACCGTGAGATCATCATGGACAACAACATGGACTTCACTGACATTATCAAGTTCTTCAATGGTAAGTAAGACACACGTGTTACATGTACATTGCTTATTTTTCACTATCCTGTTATGGCTGCTGTGTTGGTGCCATTCTGGGTGATTCAGTACCCCCCTGTGGGAAGGGGACAACACATTTGTTAGATTAATATCATGGGATTTACACGGGTTTTAGTTGTTTTATGGAGAACGATTACATGATTAATAAAACCTAACTGGGTATTTTACATTTTTTACACTTTTACACATTTGCTTTGGCTATTGTTTGTTAAGATGACACCAGCATATTTTGATGTTGTATACAGTAGTTATATAGTATATTAATATTAACATTTAAATGTACGATCAGAAAGTACTTTCTACTTTACTTTCTACTCTGTTTCAGTTGTACAATTAGTGCAATTGGAGCATTAGGATTCCAGTAAAGAGAGGAAAACTATTTTTTGTTTGTTAGTGTAACATTAGTGTAGTACTTACAGCAGTTGATGGATTATCTACTGTCACCTTCTACTCCCTAAAATAGGGATACTTTAAAATACAGAAACAGGACAGAAAAAAATCTCAGTTTACTTAAATCATTATAGTAAGTAAGTAAAATATCATCATTGATAATTGGTTTTAATATGGTAGTAGTACCAATGCAAACTTGGCTAAACATCAGGTAAAAAATGAGCCCAAAATCAAACATGAATTTGGAAGATGATGGATGGTTTTGATGACTGTGACATTTAGCTCATCTGGAAGAGTTGTGAGGTGACATCACGCAAAAAAGTTTTAAAATCACTGAAGTAGCTTCCATGTTCAAACCTGTAAGATATTCTAATGCATGTTCTCGAATGAAAACTACACAGCAAACACGTACATAATGATGAAAAAGAAGGAGCACTTGTAAATTTCAGATGCAGCATATGATTTTACTCCACAGGACAAATCTATAGATAATAATATTCCTCATTCATAATGTAGCTGTAGGCTTTAGACCACTGATTCTCAAACTATGGTACACATACCATCAGTGGTATGCAAGCTTCCTCTAGTGGTACGCGGAAGAATCTCAGAAATATTATAATGTTATGATTATAAAATGGACAGTTCAAAAAGACAACAATCGTGGCTCCAAACGGGAACTATTCGAAAGAAAGGACCATATCAGGAAGATATTATTTTGAGCAGCCATGTTATAAGTGAAGTGGCTGCCGACAGTAAACCAAGTGCCAGTTCTAGTAGCCACGTTAGCTGTGCCAGTGAAGTCTCCACAGCACCTGCTAGCAGCAAACAGCGCAAAGCAGTAAGGAGATATGATGAAGGTTACCTCCAATTTGGATTCAGTTGGAGCGGGACAGAGTAAGAGCCCAGGCCGCTGTGTGGTATGTGGCGATGTTCTCAATGAATCCATGAAACCATAGCATTAGGACTGCATGATGTTAGGAAAACATGCGATATGCGATAACATTGTTTAATATTTGGATGGCGATGTGACCTGCGATAAATAAACATTAGCAGTCCCTGCCTACAGACAGCTCCACAGCCAGGAGAAGGCTATGTTCACTTACAGTGTTAATGTGGAGTCTTTTCTAAATGTTTGAACCGTGAAAAGTACATTCATTTTTTAGGGTTGTTTGCCAACTGAAAAGAGCACTAAGAAGAAATGTAGCAATAATGACGCGGGTGTGTGTGTGTGTGCGCGCGCGTGTGTGCAGAGCTCCTGTATGAGGATGTGTTTGCAGTGTGGGAGGTGATCTGGGTGGCTCCCAGAATTTCCTCACAACACTTTGTCCTCTTTCTGGCCTTGGCACTGGTCACAGTTTACTGTGAGATCATCATCAGTAATTTAGATCCTCTCTTGTGTCTCCGTCATTCGCTCTTCTCCTCCAGCTCTACATACATTTATTAAGTTTACAAAGTCTGTTGTTTTAACAAAGAATGAGTTTATACACGTGTGTCCGATCACACTGTGTGTGTGTGTGAGAGAGAGAGGAAGAGAGAGAGAGAGGTAAAGAGCCTGACAGCTGATGAATGTGCTGCTCTAAAGAAAGATTTAACTCATTAATAAAAGTATTGATCATTATGTGATGATCAGTGTTGATATTGTGGCGACATACGAATCAACTTTCAAACTGTCATGAGACTTCAGCTGAGAGAGAGAGACACACATACAGCAGTGGAGTCTGTATGTGTCTCTGTGTGCATGCTGTTACTTTTCCCTCAGGTTCTGGGATCATTGATAACCTTCACAATTATTTTATATAATCAACCGCTCATAATGATGAATTTAACTCATTTCCTTATTAGTAATAAACCTTCCTCTTGCATGAACTGTCTGTAGCTGAATAGGTCAGCTCCACGCTACTGTATTTTAATGTTGGTCATAACTGTGGCACTTTGGGAGCCTTATATTTTCTGAGGTGGTACATAGTGTAAAAAGTTTGAGAACCACTGGTTTAGACAAACTAGTTCATGGTGTCATCCAACCACATCTAGTTCACAGTTAAGCTTGTTCATTACAGCTGAGGCTTGTGTTAAGCTTTCTGTGTGAGTGTAGTTGTATATAGTGTAGTTGTTAAGCCTCTCTAATAATGTGTCTGATCCACAGAAATGGCTGAGCGTCATGATGTCCAACATATCTTGAAGATAGCACGCGAGCTGGTCCACAAAGTTCAGTCTCTGATGGACAACAAGTGACCGAAGAGGAGGAGGAGAAATGGGAAAATGCAGAGGGAGAAAATGTTTTCTCCCCCAGAGTGATTTCCAGAGCTCCATCGATCCAGAGAAGGTCCAGAGGGTTCAGGTCTCCTCCCTGTCCAGAAGAAGGTCCTGAGAGTGGGGCCGCGGTGCTGCTGAAACAGACTGGCTCTGGAGCTTGGCCTGGATCTGTTTACATTTACCTTCACAAGGAATGCTCATGGTGTCTGTTCAGACATGTGGATTTGTCTGCATGCTTGTAAGTTTGATCACACTGTGAGCGCATTCTTAATTCTCCCCAGTCTTGCAGAGTTTGTGTGCGTGCATGAAAATACACACAACACACATACACACAGATACAAACACACACATGCACACTCAAAATCAGACATTAATCAGTACTCCGAGTTCTAGAGTGTCCCCCCTTTCTTCAACTCTGAAACAGAACATATTGGATAGAGGCTGAAGCATTCTCAGTGTGTGTTGGATGTTTTCCTCCAGCAGAGGCCAGTAATGTTCAGGATTTACACAGAGGAGCAGAGGACTAAGCCACGAAGAGTGACCAAATGGACTGTGCCAACTACCTTTCATGAGTGTTTTCTACAACTAGCATGAGTGTTTTTACCCCTACCCTATCCCAGTTTTTCCTTTTGTCAAGGAGTTTATTATCACACAAATGTTGCCTTTATCAGTAACAGTCCAAGGTACTTGTTGCACTTTTTGTGAGGGTTTCCTTCCTGGAGCCTGTGAAGGCCTCACCACAGTCAGTGGAGGCTGGAGGTGCCACAAGAGGCCAAATTATTGAGAAACTCAGGATGATTTGCAGCCGACTTTTCTGAGCATGTCAGTCAGTGGTCAGAGCATGTTTAATCCTTGTTCCAAGATGGAAAACCAAACTAACAGCAGAGCACAACAGTTATGACAAAAGCACATAGGCCATCCTCTTTCACACAAAATTTTCTCTTTTTTACCCCATGATTTTATTGTATGGCTCTAACAACCATTGAGGTCAGGTCCTTAGGAACATCTCTGCAATTTGGGAATTTAGATGCTTTGATTAAATACACATATTATACATTTGTTTTTTTTTTGGTATTTCAAAAGAATTACAGTAATAGTTTTAGCCAAAATTCTGAATAAAAAAGGGATTAACTGTTCCCAATCATACATGCAGCACATCACAGATATGTTTAGTAGTGTGGGGAGGGCTTTTAAACAGGATTTAGAGCATACATTTACAACAACACAATGTAAAGGATTAATGAATAAATACAAGATTAAATTCTGTGATTGGTTTTTATTCTCAGCAATACTTTAAAATATCAGTGTTGCTTAGTGACTAGCCAATAGTTTATTCAATGTGTTTAGCTGAACTGAGCTCAGTAACTAAGATCAGCCTGTTTTACTGCTTAAAGTTTCAGTGTGTAGAATTTAGTGAAATCTAGTGGTGAAATTGCATGTCGCAACTGAATGCCCCTCATCTCACCATCACCTTCCAAACATGAAAGAGAATCTGTAGTAGCCTTCAGTTGTCATAAAAATATTTTTAGCTTGTCCAGTTTGGCTTACTGTAAAAAACATGGTGGCCTTCATAGAGAGGACCCACTTGATGTAAATATAAAGCATATAAATATAAAGGCCCGATTCTAGTGTAAAGACAACAACAATTCATACAATCCAGATGAAACACATTAGTGAAAACATGACAAGGATTAATTTTCATTAAATTTAAGCCAATAGATTCCTTTAACCTAAATCTTACACACTGGACCTATAAAGTTTCAGAAGAATTGGTGATCAAAGGATATTTGAAAAGATAAAACTGAATTAAGTATCATAGGTCTGAGACTGGTGAGGAGAATAAGACATGACAGTCTGAGACAAAAAGGCTATGAGAAGATTAAAAAAAACTTGAATTGAATGAGGCTGACATTCTATATTTTATTATTGTCAACAGATCCCATGAAAACACATAAACTGTCTGTTCTACTGAAGACAAAAATCTTTAAAGCTGCTTTCAGATATGGAGACACTTAAAACAAGCAGCCATTTTGAGCCTACTTTACAATACATAGTGCATTTGTTGGGGACTGTTTTCAGTGGCAGAGTAATACACATCTGGTGTTATACTGAGTAGTTACAGTGGCAGGATGAGGGTTAAAGGTTTCCCCCTGGATTAAGAATCTGTATATCCCCATTTAGTCTGAATATTCATTTCATGAAGGGAGTTTGAGAAATGGACTGTGGTTAACAAATCATATTATATGCACACTTATTATAATTTTAGGATATTACTGTTTTATACATTTTACATAATGTGGTAATAATGGAATGCTCTTCACAAAGTGCTCCATATATAGAAAGTTGGAAAAGCACAAAGTCATGTGTCAGATTCGTAGTTGACCTGAGGTGTTGTGAGATATGAGTGCTATACTCTTGGACATTTAGTTGTTACATAAGGACAATCTTCTGCTCAGGTTCATTTCTCAAGTTCAAGATTAAGTTGCAGATTCAGTGTAGTTTTACTAACCGATTCGGCAATCAGCTTTATTCACCCATTCCAATCAATATAGTTTACCACACAGTATATATGTATCTACAAGATGCGTTGTAAGGCTTTACTGCAGACAGTAGCCTCCGATATGTGAATGAACAGGTGCACAAATCATAGTCTAACGACAGTAATACACTACAACATGTCACCCAGTGTTTTTAACAGAGCTCCATGTGTTCACATATCACATATATCAGGCTTTACCTGTCACCAAGTCACATTGTGTTGGTTTGGGTCTTTTCATGGGGTTGCATTAGGAAAATGAAATACCTTCAGCTCTATTCTTGCCGTGTTTTCCTTTGGAATTGGAGTCAAACATGCACATTGATCTGAAGTCAGCATGGAAGCAGCTGAGCGGTGCTGTCAGGAAAAGTGGTTGCAGTCATCCATGTTGAACCCGATTTTTCTCCTGCCTCGAGTCTAGCCTCAGAAAAGAAGACAAGCTCAGAATAGGATGGTCTAAGTAACAGACCCCTGGTCACAGGTCAAAAAAAGTACCTGAGACAAAAGCTGCTTTTGATGCCAAACTTTGTTGAGTGTTCATTGAATCAGTATTAGGTTAGGATTGGCTTCACAGTAATAGCACAGAATACATCAATAGTTACATCTGAAGGAAATTTGGGACAATTTTGATAGCGTTTCCAATCCCCTTCTCAGTGTGACCCTTTATCTCCACCCGCCTCACCTCTTTCAAATGTCCAACATGGCTGCATATGATTGGTCATCCAGCATGGACCTGCACCTGTGATTCAAGTGCCAAGAGTCTTCCCCAATCCTGAAGTGCACTGTAGTCATCTGGCTCTCTGATTGCTAGTTTGATCCCAAGAATGGGCGGCGACGTGGATGTGCCTTGCTACGGACTCTTCCCCTCCCCCCTCCTGCCTCCACAGCGACAGAGTGGGTGCCATAAGTGAAACCTGGGCCCATAGCAGAGCCTTTTCTTCCAATCAGGACATTGTGTACCAAAGCCTTGAAACTAGAGCCCGACTGATATTAGATTTTTTGGGGCCGATTATGATCGCGTGTTTTGGGGACTTAAAAAATTCTAATAGATTGGTATGTTCTGGATTAATTTGATAGGTTTTGCTATGTGCTTCTTTTGTCTCTGTTCACCTGCCCAGAGACTAATAATGAACATTTACGAACTATTAAAATGTGGCACAAATTTGTCTGAGATTCATTTTTTTCTGCATTATATTCTGTAAAAAAATATGATATAGGTCTACATGGGCAGAGAAAATCGGCTGACTAATGTATCGGTCGGGCTTTACTTGAAACAGCCCCCTCTGTGGCATGACAACAATGTGCAATTTCATACAGCATCTGACTGTTTACTATGTGTGTAAAATATTTTTGAAAATGGTGATCTTGGATTCTGTAATTTCTGTCATTTGAGAAAACCCATCAAACTCTATATTCCTGTGAATATGAATCGAGAACCCAATATTTCTATGAGGACAGTCAGAACATATAACTTATTTTGAGATCTATTTTTTATGTTGGTTTTAGCGGCAATATAGTCGAAGCTGTAAACTGTGCACAGCTACAGATTGTGTGCAGACTATGTACACGTTGACTGTTAAGTGTTCTTTCTCAATGTTGTGCACTGACTTTAAGAATTCAAATTTCTATTTATTTAGAGAGCCAGTGATTGCATTGCTGAATATGTACTAGTAAGGATGTATCATTTGCCTTGAATGTACTGTATTATTAAATAAGGGGTTGTTCAGTTGTGTGCTGCTCTCTTTCCTTTTGCCATCACAAAAGAAGACCCAGGGGATAACAAAGCAGAAGACTTATAACATATTAGATACAGGGCCTGTCTGTGTAGAGCAGTGACCATCTCACCTCACAACATAAGGTCTTATTTATGATCCTGCAGTGTCAGACTCCAGCAAATCATATCACAGTACACAACAATAGTGTGATATAAAAAATAGCCACATGACCACACATCTGTAGTCGGCCTCTGTGCTAAAGCCTGTGCTTCTTATTTGTTACCATGACATTCGGTCATAAGCTCAACAGAGTCTGTCCAAAAACAACCTAAACATCACATCAGTGATCTTTTTACAGAGTTTTAACAATTAATCCACAACATGGAAAAATACTCTCTTAATAATAAAATAAAAGAGCCTCTATGAACATTTTCAAACAAAGATATAGCAACATATCTCCTCACTCTGTTTGTACAAGGTGAGCCATCATTTAACATTTTACACAGAACAATAAATTAATTTAGTTAATAGCTGTAAAAAAAGGATTATTTTAGCACAGTTCTTGTAGATAGACATTTCATAAAAACTTTAATTAGGAACATGAGCCATATTATCAAGTCCAAGTTAATAATTCAAGTCAAGACATGTTTTGGACTTAAACTGAATTTACCTGGGGCCTCATTTATAAAACAGTGAGAAGAAGCGCAAACTTTCTGACACTGACATTGAGGAGCTTATTAGTGAGGTGGAGGTGAAGAATGACAGATTGTTTTAGGGCTACAGCAGTGATATCATTAATATAAGTGTAGCTGCTGCTGTTAATGCACTGAGTGAGGATGAGTACGACAGAAAGGACAATGCGTGAAATAAAAAAAGTGGTCCGATCTAAAGGTGATGGCAAAAAAATGATTGGTTCTCGTCAGAATGTGAGGGAATTTATCACCTGTATGTATTTTGATAATCCAAAACTACAGGATTATTAAATCAGAGAGAGCTGTTGAAAAATTTAACACAATAATAATCTTAAAATAATCTAAATAGGCTTTACATAGGTGAAGATTATACAGTGTTAATATATCACACATACTTGTCTACTAATTAACCTTAATTGAGTGATTAGTACTTGTGTGTGTACTGATTTCGGTTCCATCAGGTCGGTCTGTGTAATACTGGACTCAGTTCAGTACAAAGATCCAAGACCACTGCTCTAAAGAATCTACGATCTATATGAGCTGTGGAATCAGTCATCATCATAGGACAGGAAAAAGCCAGACTCGCTAAACACTGGTTTCCCACTAATTCTTCCATTCACGTACTTCTCGATTAGTGTCACATGCACCCATCACCCAGCATTACACACGAATGGCACCGCTTTAAGCTGTTTTATATCTATTTCAATTAAGGGTCCTTAGGGAACATTTATTGTGGTTATAAATTAGGCTCCTGGTGTTTACTATAGAAAAACTAAATCACCTTAAATTTTATATTAGATGAGTTATACTTCCCATCAATGTTCTTAATATGGTTAAATGTTTCCCTTCTTCCTGAAGAAAAAAAGAGACGGAAGCCAAGCCTTAAAAAAAGCATTATTTATCGAGGTTGATAATTGAAACTGATCAGCATGACATTGCACAATACAAAGGCATGAAAAAGAAAAAATATTAAACATTAAAATAGGTATTGCATCTTCCAAAAGCAATTTTTCCATTCATAAATACTTGTGATTTCAGTTCACTGCAGTATCTTACAATAGGATCACAATGGTTTTTTCTAAATAGCCAGAGATCACTTGTAAAGATCAGTGTGTGATGTGACACCAAAATAACAATCAGCAGACATTCTGTGGTTTTGGGAACCTGTAGTATTTTTATACAGTACAATATTGAAGGCCAAGAGTTCTCCGCAGACGATTATTGGTGGAGGAGAAAGTCCAGCTGTGGTCATGTCACCTTGGAAATGCAAGACCCAACGCAGACGGTGAGATGGCTGAGATGACGTCCATGATTTTCTGTTCTCCTGTACTGAAACATGAGGATAGAATGTTAGTTACATTAACCCTAAAACAAAATCACATATTACTTTCTTGGGTTTATTCACATTTTTCTAAAAACAAATTCAAAGCAGAAGATGGTCAATGGGCTGGCTTTCATTAACTGCCTGATATGAAACAAATTATAGTTACCTCACATCAGTAGAAAATGTTTGAATTCCCGAATTGTATCTACTAGTGCAGTCAGTGCCCATTCTCCACATGCCTGTTTGCTAGCCAGAGCTACTTCAGAATTATTTCTTGTCATTAGTGAGTACTCCACAAACAGTTCTACAATATCACATCACTTTTTATTGAATGTGTGCTGGACTTTGTGTGCAGAGCTTTTTATTATCAGTCTTCGATGCAGTTGTAATATAATTAAAAATGCACTTTAGTAATTATTTATTTCAATTTACATTTGTGAATTTTATTTATCATTTTACGACTGTTGTGAAGTGCATCTCAGTTATTTTCATTTAGCATCATTTTTGTTTATGTTTCCTGTGGGAGCATCAACTTGTTGCGCATTGCTACTGTGTACTTCCTGTATGTCCGTAACTTACGCCTTCTCCTCACAATGCGATCCACATTGCTGAGGTTAAGTTGTGTGGAGGGTGTTGTGCCAGTACTTTGTTATTTTCTGTGGAAGATATTGCATACATTGTAATACCCAGTGCATGTTGTTTGCTGATGATGCTGCTGCAGCTTGCCTGTAATGTTTTGTGTTGTTTTCATTGCTAATTTTAAGTTTTATAGATGTTTTTGTGAGTCTGTGTTGGTCTGATTTGTATCGTGGCAGTCAGCTGTGTTGACTGTGGCCAGCTTAGCATTGTGAATTGTGGGGAATCCATTATTTTGTGTACATTTTGGTATTTTTTATATGTTTAGGAGCTGATATGCAGATAAGACAGTACTAGAAGGACATTTATGTTTTTATGTTGTCCTTAGCAGGTATGTTTTCCTTTGTTGAATGTTTTAGTTTTCTATGTTTCTGTGTAGTCACCCTACTCCATGTGCCTTGTTTATTCTGACCAGTAGGTGTCACTGTTATTTGCACATGTTTATTTTATGTTTTTTGGGAACATCTCATTATAAATAAGTAAAACATGTTTTCTTTTCAATTTTAATAGCTATGGTTAGACATGTACTATGAGCTAAGTATAGACTGTAACGTCTGATCAATGTGTATGTGTCGTAATACACAATGCAATCCACATTGCTGAGGGAGCTGATGTGCAGACAAGAAAGTACCTGAAGGACACTTTTTTTATATTGTCCTTTCTAGGAACGAATAAATATTGGGAAACAATTTGTGAGTCCTTGTCTTCCATGCCCTCATCCACACACCTGTTACACAGAGTCAAGTAAAAAAACTTTGTGTTATTTTTTCATACATGTCGGCTATTTTAGAAGTCTGATAAGCAATCACAATCTTCAGACCACAGTTCATGACTTTTCTAAATAAAAGCTGTGTAATTCAGCTCGATATAAAGCATTACAGCAACAAAACAAATGTGCTTTTACTTTGACAACAGATTCCCAATTAAAAGTGATTCTATGAATAATGTTGCAGACAGAGATCAGCATCTTGTTTACTCCCAAATGCCAGTGCAAGTCCAAAATAGTTAAATAAAAACAATCAAATTAACAAAAGGATCTGGCAACAATTTTTACCTGCAGTTTGACCCAGTTACAGACCACTGATGTAGTTTATACGAGGATGTAGAAGAAGACAAATGTCCCACAAACTGACAATAAAGTCAATATACACTGCTCAAAAGAATTTAAGGGAACCAGTTTACAAATGATGAAAGTGAATGGGTCCAGCGAGAGTGGACGCTTGTGGGTGCGTCTGTGCCTGGAGCAAGTTGAAGTTCACACGCCCCCACTCACTCTACTACATAGTGAGATCAGAGCTTGTTCAAGTGAAGCAGCAGGTATGTGACTTTGTTGAAGAAAAGTAGAAACAAACAGTAAAAATATAGCGTTTCCTCTATGATCCATAGCTGCTCAATGATCAGAAGGCATGCCCAGACATTTATATGCGACTCGAAATTAGGTAATTCACACTTCCTGTGGTCCTTTATGAATTTATCATTTGTTCAGTGCTTTAGAGGAGATTTAAAAATATCGATATATATATATTATGTATCGCGATATAGCCTACAAATATAGCGATATTTGTTTTAGGCCATATTGCCCAGCCTTAGCATATAGAACAGTAAATTGAACTTTTAGCACCGTTACACAAACAAGAGTTATTATTGCATGGAGAAATTGCTTTTAACAATTAAACCTTTTGACTTAATATGTCAGTCAACACAGAGTTTTTGAGTCAGCTCCAACCCTGTGTAGTACCTGTGTGTTGAGGTGATGTACTCCTTCAGCTCTAACTGGGGTTTGGTCTTTCTGCAGACTTCTGGATCTGTGTGGAGAAAAAGACAGCAGTGGTTACAGGACTAGTGCTCGCCTCAGGGTAACAGATAAACTGCTGTGCAGACAGCTGACTCACTGACTTCAGCATATTCATCTTCTTTTTTACTGATTCCGTGAAAAAAGAGATTGATTGTGTTAATAAAAATGCATCATAATTAGCAAATAAAAAGTAGACACTTTTCAGAGGTGTATTTCTGAAAAAAATATAGATGTAGATGCATCAAACTACCAGAAGAAGGCAGACATGTTCTTTAGCCAACATCAGGCCTATGATCCGAGACACAAAAAGGCGACAACACAAAGAGACTAATGAACAAATAACCACTAAAGACCAAAAACATTTAGAAAATCATGAAGCTGGGACCAAAAAACAACAGGCTGCATTAGATGTCCAGAAAAGCAAGTCAAAACGAGATGAGCAGATGAAATCTGTAATTTGATCTTCAACTGAGCTATACACTAGTTTTACCCAAATCATACGCTGAAGAAAGCTGAATTAGGAAGAAAACCCCCTTAGCGACAGGCAGAAATGTTACTGTACCTGTTGTGATTGTTCTTTTAGGAAATCTGGTAGCTGAAATTCACCTTTAAAGACCTGGGAAAACAAAGGACCAGGTTTAGAACTCCACAAATGTATTGAATCTGCATGAAATCATCATCTGGATTACCATGGTGAAGATTTACTGGATTATTTTTTATTTATCACTTGGTAAAGGGTTCTTGTCAAACTATTGTTTTAATTTAAAGGGGATAGTTCAATCTTAAAATGAAAATGAGTGAAGTTTCATTTTTCAGTAATCTATTCCTTTAATTTCGTTGATTTTAATTTAGCTGTGGGAACCCTGTAGTGAATTAGACATTTGTAAAACAGCATCATTCACAGCTTTTAGTCCAACACAGTGTGACACATGTATTTAACTTGTAGTGACACTCGGTTGTGTGAGGTGAACTTTTGCAAGAGAAAACCCAGCTCTTGTTGTGATACAGGCCTCATACAGACATATGTTGCTTGGTCTTAGCTTGTTTACACTAAACCTAACAAAGCCTCTCCAGTGTGACATTTCAAAACAGCACAGTGGCGTTTCAGACTCAGGATGCACTCACATACATCATGGCACTGTCAGCCATGCTGGCTCTCCCTTTTACACAGAAATCGATCCTGCCCTCTGTCTATCTCCACTGTCAGCATAGAGGCACCCGCATTCCATATTTGTACATGTTATTCAAAGGATAGCACGGAAAAAAAGGCTCCACATTCTTTTCTTGAACAGGCTGTGTAAAAGGGCTATAGTTTCACCCCAGGGGGCTGACATGAGATCAGCCTGAGACGGTGACAGTTCACTGGCAGGAGGCTGACTGAGTGTTTAAAAAAGGTCACATCAAGAGAGAGGGGGAGTGGAGGTCAATATCCTAGGGGTTACTTGGGTGTACTGTGCTCTCCTCCACACAGAGATAACTTAGTTTGTGAGTGTTGGAAGTATTTTTTCCAGAGAATGTAACTGTGTATGGACAGGAACTCACCACCACCATTGAATGAAAACAACACTGTAGCACAAGTTGCAAGCCAGATAAGAGGAATGTGGAAGAAAGGCTAGACAATGAGTAACAACAGTGTGATGTTGGACAGAAGCTCAATATTAGAGGAATTTACCAGATAAGACAGGAAACAGGAGGACACAGTTACTACTGTACTACTACAGTAGAAGTAGCGACTGTGAAAGTTTCTATTATCTCATTGTAAAGTCAAACATTCAGATAGCCTTGATATGTCTGTTTCATTTGTAAAGTCAAACATTCAGATAGCCTTGATATGTCTGTTTCATTTGTATTATTTTCATCAACAATAGGTTTCTATTATAGAGCTAATAGACAGAGAGTAGTACAAGAGTGATATTATCAATGGAAATATTTAATTTGAGCCTGTGTTGGACCTCCATAGAGATGAAGGAGTGGTCTAAAGTCTTGTGCTCTCTTTCTGGGCGCCAGTGATTAAAACTTCCCCAAAACAAATAACTCTTTTTTTAACCAACCCGTGTGCCTTCATGCATGCTTGCGTGTTTAGCTGATGTTGATACAGGGCCAGACACTGAGTGTGATCTGAAATGATTTCCAGCAGCAGAGACAGCCAGGCAAACACATGTTTCTGATTTCCCAGCTTAGGCCTTCCTCAGCCTACAGGGGATCCAGGCCAGACTGCTCTGAACATATCCACACCTTCTCCTCGGACACAAATGCAACGTACACATAGGAGCAGTGGAGCACAATGACTTCAAGTTACACACTAGGTCACATGTTGATAATTGCAAGCTGACTCAAAGAAATAACTCTTTCCCCTCATCCTACAAGAGCACAGACAGCCAGCTAACCTCTATATATGAAACAACTCCAAGCAGCACTCTCCTGCTCATTAGACTCTTTCCTCTAAATAATAAAGGAGTTTCTAATTATAATTATAAAAAGTCAGTTCTTCTGGTCAATCTGAATTTTTAATTTATCACATTATTACATGCTCAGCTTTAAAGTACAGTATACTCCATATTGGATAACAAAAATCATCCACTATTATTCAAATAGCAGGGAAGTTAATTCTTGACTTTGGCAATAAAGCTGTGCTTAATATATTCTCTTCTAATTGTTAAATGATACATATTTAGATTAATTTTTTTAAGTTTTGAGAAGTAGAAATAGTGCTAACATCCTATATGACAGGGTAATTCAGAAGTTTGACTGACAATGGAACAAATGCATTAGAGAAAAAAATATTTCTCCCTTCAAAGTACCAATACAATCATTGGACATGATTGTCAGCCAGCAGGTCTCATCTCAAAGAATGTCTCAGGAAGGATTTTCTCCAATTTGCATATTTGAATATGTTCAGGCCATTTGTCTTGAACTTTAATGGTACACCTTTGTCATTATTATTCATCTTGTATATTTATGTTGTTTTCTGTATTTGAATGCAATATTTTTAAATGATGATTTGTTGTAGTATTATGCTGTGTTGACTGATATGCATTCAAGTTAATTTCCTGAATATGTTGGTTGTATGGGTGACTGAGTTGAATCAGCTCAATTTGATTTTGATTAAAGATCAGACTTAATCTAATAATTAAGATTTAGATGTAGTCTAAATGTCTAGAATTTATTTAATGTATTAATATTTACAGCGGCAAACCTTTTTTGCAAACCAAATGACTGATCCATCGTCTGATCCACTTTTTCAGTTCTTATACCAATCAAATAACACACATATTATTGCAACAGTATTTATAAATATTAATTTCCTCAAGGAGGTTTTGTCTGTTTTGGGTTATAATACTGAGACAGACATGTTGGAACGAGTCACTGAAAGGGGTGGCCTGTCGTCACAGCAAGACTAATTCAGCAGAAACCCTGTGAGGCTGCCTCAACATGTCTAAGTAGAGCCAGGCAAAGTTGAGTTAGGGAGGGAGCAGCATAGTCAGGTCAGCCAAGGTGCCTGCTGGTACACTCAGCAGGTCAGTCCTGTGTGGTAGTGCCAAACTAAACCCTGCAGAGTTTCAGCTTCACTATAATGGCTGGTGCTCCCTCTGACTAAGCCCCTGGTCCCAGGGGGGTTAAAGGTGGTATTGTATTTGAAAAGCTGCCAGTGTTGAGTTACAGTTGGCAGGAGAGAAAGTTTCAGCTGCATGCTTGGCAACTTCCATCCTCTCTAAAGGGAAACATTTCAGGAATACTATTACCATAAAACAATATGCTTGTATCTCAATCACACATACTGTACATTGTTCAGCAGACTGTCTCTTCTTGTAGGAAGGGACTCACTACCTGTACCTACTGATCTTCAAAAATTTAAGTCACCACCTAAAATTTAAGATTAATGAAACAAAGTCAAAACTGTACCTTTACAATATATCCGTGTTATCTGCTTTTGTGTTATCTACTTTTGTCAACCTATGCATGCTCAAGGTAGCTCACCAAACTATGTCTAAATGCATTAGTGTATATACCTCTTCTAGACAGTTACTCTTAAAGGCACTGCAAAAAGCTTAAATATATACAATTGCTTCCATACTCTGTGCAACTGCAGAGGAACAATTTCACTGAACCCAATGTGACTGTGCTCTACAAGATCCTGAATCATCATGAATAAGCTCTCTGCACATTTCAAGAGGATTCTCAATGGATCACAAACATTAACTGAGTTTTAGGGTTAATTATAGCAAAAAAAGAGCAAGATGTATCCATAAAGAGACATTTAATTTGAAGATCTTCTTTTTATCCTCATCCAACCAAAGCTTTCATGAATACTAATCTCTGTTGAGGTTGCAGAGCCAAATGGTGGCAAGGCATTGACGAAGGCCTGGAATCAATCTGATATGATTAGCTTCCACATCATTAATTGTCCTTGTATCAATATAAAGGAAAAGGTCCAGCCAGACGTGAATACACAAGGAACTTTACACACATTTGTTTGTAACCTCTCCACTTACTCATATTATTATTGTTACTGTGGATAAACTGAGAACTTATTGATCCCAATATCCATTTCTCACCAGGGATCAGAACAACTGCAAAGCCACTTAAAAGCTATTGATTGCGGTTCCAAGAGCCAGCCCTGACAAGCCTAATTTACAGCACGCACAGAACAACCTCTGCCAACAGAAAGACATGAAGCCTGGACAGAAAGCAGAGGTCCAAGTGTTCACCATTGCTGGAAAAGATACATAAGGATGTTATGTGCAAGATTTTCTCCAATAAGATCTAGTTACATGATTTGTAAACTTGCCACCAGTAACCACATCTTTAAGACATAACCCCATTGAACTTTAACGGTACTGGCAAATTTGAGACCTAAACCCAAAGCAAGACCAGAGAGTCTTAGCTCACCACAATAATGCAAAGTGTCGGCTGTGTGTAACTCTTCCTTTTACCACTGAGCATCACATATTGACATGCATAAAGCCCCTCATGGACAGACTATTCCTGAATGAATGAATGACATTTACAAATAAGCTAAACCAAACTCAACCTTCACCCATGGCTAGGACTAAACTAGCATTATCTTTTTTAAATTGCAATTTGAAATGTTACCTACAATAGACAGCCATCAATAGCTTTAATGCTGCCTTCTGGGCAGCTGAACAAGTAGAGTGAACAAACACATTTTCTGCCAACATTCAGGCTGCTTCTCCAACATTACATGTCCATAACCAAATTGTTGGAATGGTTGTGTATTAGATGAGTCTTCACAGTATCTTCACAATACACAAACACACACATAACAAAGCACCACTGAGATAAGGCTGGTCTGCCCAGGTCAAACTCCACAATATAACACTCTGTTCCAAACGTCAAAGACATACAGGAGTATGAAAAGGGACAGCTTAATTTGTAACTACTATTTTAAATCAGGTCATATTATTTTATGCTCAGCATTAGCCTGTAGCTGAAAGGCATACAAAAACTAATTTTAAAAAATGTCACTTAAAGGTCCAGTGTGTAAGATTTAGGTGAAAGGGATCTATTGGCAGAAATTTAATATAAAATAATCCTAGTGATGTTTTCACTAGTGTGTTTTATCTTAATTGTATGAACTGTCGTTTTCTTTATCCT